TTCACCAAGCAACCATATAAAGGAGAGAAGCAACTCTGAGACAAAAACTAGAAGCCATAATGACATGGGTACTGTTAGGGGCGGCTCTTGGAAGAAAAAGGAAACTCTGTAATAGATCAAGAAAGCTATAGCAATAGAGTGGAGTAGTCCATGTAATCTGTTTAAAAAAATTGATGTCTTTGAGACATGGCATAAATGGAGGGGTTGAGAGATCTCCATTAGGTTCTCAGCTGCTGCAGTCAGTTGAATGTTTTGTTTAGCATAAGAATGAACTATGTACGCCTCTAATTCTCTTGTATGATTCTCTTCTTATATATGATGGCCGTTAAGACATGGAATTTCGGATTCTTCCACAAAATCCATTAGGCTGGTTCTTCTCGTAACAATGAGTTTCTTTCTTGTGGTCTTAAGTCATTTGGCCTGACACGTTAAAAATATGCGGTGTACCATACACTTCCTACTGTGTAAAGGCGCCTACTTCTAGAGGTGTTCATTTAGTTTTTTGGTGCGGCTCTGAGATATTTTGATCAGTTTTTTATTATCCAAATTTTCAAAAAAAAAAAAAAACCAAAATCAAACAAAAATTGTATTCCGTATTTCAATTAAAAAACCAAAATTTTGATTTTGGTTTTCGATTATTCGCCCCCTCCTTTTTTGGAAATATCTAAAAAAAAAATTATCACATTCAACTATTAATATTTGGTACAAAATCTCATGTTTTGTTGATGATCATAGACTTTTTCCCTAAGTAGCTATGGTCCTATGGTTGGAGATTTGGTATTTGAATATATTTGCAAAATCAAGTTTAAAATATAAATGTCTACGTTAAATTTTCATGCATTTCTCTATTGTTTCTTTGTAATTGAGAAGAAAAAAAATTTTGAATTTATGTAGGTGATCTTGTTTAAAAATTTAAGTAGATGATCGCAAGATTTTGATACTACTTGTATAATTGCTCAAGAAGGGAGGAGGAAGAGATGATTGTTGTTCAAAATATACATATATAGTAAAAAAAAAAATTAATTCAATTTTTCAATTTTCATCGAACTCAAAAAATTAAAAATCGAACCAAACTCGAAAACCGAAATAATTTCAGTTTAGTTTTTATTTTTTAAATTTCACAAAAAAAAAATCAAATCGAAATTGATATTTTAGTTTGGTTCGGTTTTAAGTTTTTCGATTATAACCGAATAGTGAACACCTCTACTCACTTCTCCATTAAACACAATTGTAACAACAATACGTACTTACATAATTTCAAGGAGCCAATTCTCCTTCATGTATAGACATAATATACTAAACTACTACCTTAACCATTAGATTGGCTTTGCCGAACCCTTTTTTGCACCATTAACTCTAGTGCTCATGCTTCATGTTTGCAAGACTTTAGAAAACACCACCACCATTTTTTCCAATCTTTAAATAAGCTAAATAGGAGGTACAATCAATCTAGATGCTTAAAATCTTGTGCATCATTAATAATGTCATCGATGAATAACAACTTTCTCGGCGTCCAACCTTGTTGTCACTATCCGATATTTAGAGGACTTCTAAAAATTTTATGGTTGTAAAGGAAAAAGAGTTTTTAAAAAAAAATTTTAGAGTTGTCACCTAATATAATTAGGAAACTAAAATTGACACTAGATTCCGAGATTTTAAGTAAGAGGTCGGGTATACTTTGGAAAGATAACAATCATCAAAAAATAAGATTTAAAAAAAAAAAAGGTATCAAGTTTAATTTAATCTTAAAAATTATATTTGCCAAATTATTTTCTAAATCTATTTCCAAGCTTAATTATCATCTAGGTCAAATTATTTTTTTTATTATGACATCATATTAAATTAACATCGGACCTTAAGTTTAAGAGTCATGTCAATTTAACATCGGATCTAATTAAAATTCGACATGATTGGCATGTCGATAAATGACTTAATAACTAAAAGTATTTATTTGGATGCATATGAAAAAATATTTTTAAAATTGATTCTTTTCTTTTTATTATAAAATCATATTAAATCAACATCAAACCCAAAAATTAGGAATCTCATCAATTTAGTATCGGATCTAATTAAGTCCCGACTTGATTGGCATGTCGAGAAACAACCTAGGAGTCTCAAGTGTTTACGTGAAACACTCGAATAAAAATGACATGAGCTAACTCTTTATTTTTTATTTTATTTTTATTTTTTAGCCATTTGTTTCAAATAAAACTTTGAGACCACCGCCAATCTTTATAGAATTGGAGACTTGTTAGTTCAACCTACTCACCTAATTAATTTAACAAGGTTTTTTTTTTTATTGGATAAAATATATCAAGACCATCATCCATCCTAATAAAAAGAATTGGAGACTTGTTAGTTCAACCTACTCACCTAATTAATTTAACATGGTTTTTTTTTTTTATTGGATAAAATATATCAAGACCATCATCCATCCTAATAAATAGGAGGCTTGTTGGCTCAACATCATGATCGGATGAAAATTCACATGTTAAAATAAAATTTACAACTTAAATATTTTTACACTTCAACACATATAAAATTAAATATTATTACAAAATAGCATAATAATAATAATAATAATAATAACAAGAAAAAAAAAACCAAATAGTCACTAATAAAAGATCAAAATGCTCTTGGAATGCTAATAGAGATGGTGAAAATGCCATTGCTTTAAAAATGATAGAATTGCTCCTTGTGTCAAAAATGACAAAATTACCTTTTAATAGCTCCGAATCTTCTAGTCGTCATCGATCTCTCCTCCGACCACCTTTCAATACGTGGATGGTCCCGTAAGATGGAGGAAGTCTTCCTCTTTCCTTTTTGTGGTGGTTTTGTTAGTCGCTTGTGGATGGAGATTGGCGACTAAGAAGTTTTGGCCTTCGTTCTTCTCTAATCAATTTCAACCTAGTTTAATGGCTTTTGAGGCTCAAAATCAAGCTAGAGATACTCCCGGGACCTCGCTAAAGCTTCATTTTGGTCATTGGATGGTTGGATTTGGTCGAAAAATAGGAAAGCAAAAATGCGTATGAGCCATAGGTTATAAAGGTCACAAGTCATCGCCATTTTCATCCTCCCTTCCCTATTTTCCATCACTTTCATTGGTAAGGAAGAGTTTATAAAGAATTTAGGAGTAAGTCTATAATGGTGGTTGTCGTTAATGTAGCTAGAAAACATCGATTTTGGAAGAAATAATATCCGGGTCGAGTCGAGTGGTTACCGTTCTAGATTCCAGCCTCCTTAATTGTTTTTCTCTATTCTAATTGGTTAGGGAAAGTTACTCCGAGTTTGGACTTCAAATATATAGTTATTAAAACACATATCTCATGTTGAATAATTAAATAAAAGATGAGTGATATGTAAAATTGAGAAGGAATCACCCACCATAAGGCTTAAATGTTTTAGATGGAACTCAATTTCAACTATTTAATGTTATGTGGTATTTGAGTCCCAAAAAGGTTCAAACAACCAATAAATATTCTAAATTTCAAGCCACTTAACAGATCTCAAAAAAATGGATTGCAAATTAGGAAAAGTGTTAGTGATTATATTCCACATTCAATAATTAAACCAATGTTGATTAATATATAAAGTTGAGAATGGATCATCCACCATAAGGTTTAAGTCTTTTAGATAAAACTCGGTCTCAACTATCTAACTCTATTTGACATCATAACCTCAAAAAGGCTTAACAACTCAATAAAGATCTTGGATCCCAAGCCACTTGATAGATCCAAAAAATAGGTCAGCAAGTAAGGAGGAGTGTTTACATGCATATTCTATATTAAATAGTAAAATAAAAGATGAGTGACATATAAAATTAAAATGCCACCCGTCACAAGGTTTTAAGTGTTTTGAATGAAACTCAATCTAAATTATCTAATTCTATAGTGGTGTTTTTAAGAAGAAGAGGCCGACGGGTCTAGTGGGTCGAGAAAATGGGTCAACCAATTGTGGTTTAATTTAAGAGATTGTTTGGCTTTTGCCTTTTCTTCTTCTTCTTGTTTTTTTTTTTTTAATGGTGGTTAGTTTCTCCTTCTTTTTATTTTATTTTATTTAGTGAAAATTTCAACCGCCTAGGGTCTCTCTCTCTCCCTTCCGATCTTGTTTGGAAAAGAAATATATTTATAAGAGATTTTTAAGGTTTAGGTTAATCTTATTTTAGCCCTTCGTTGTCTTTTTTATTCTACCTCAATCCTCAACCTTTTTTTATTTCAATTATACTCTCAATTTGATTTTTATTGGTCATCACACATTTTATGTTCTTTAATTTGTTTTTGAATTTTTTTTTCTCTTTTTCTCTTTCCAATTTCTTCTTTTATTTTTTATTAAATTTAGGAGGTAATCCTAAGAAATTTAAATCTTAAAATTATAAAAATACCTAAAAAAATATGAAAAAAAAACTATGCACCATGTAATTTTTAATTTTTTTAAAAAAATATATATAAAATAAAAATTTATTGAAAGGTCAAAAAAGGGTTATGACACCCGCAACAATATTGTTCTCTTCTATACGAAACACCAAATCTAGTTATACAATATATGCTTCATTCAAGTGTCCATTACTTGAATGAAGCATTATCTCTCTTAATCTAAGAAATCAATCTAAAGATTACCATGAAAAGGTACATATATATACCCATTATGATTTCCATCTTTTACGATATAATGGATTTTTGATATATCATATATTGTTTTTTAGTATTAATTTACGTTACATAACACACATGCATCCATCCATCCCAACACATTCGCTCAAAGAAAATCAATTATTAGTTTCACTAATATTTTATTACTATGATCGAAAAAGAGTGAAACAAAAAGATAAAAAGCAAATAAAGCCATCAATCGGCCATGCCTTCAACACATCCGTTGACACTCACTTGTCATATAGTTTATTATTTTCTATAAGTATTAAATAATTATGCGGATTAGCCATTGAGCTTCTTTCTTATTACCATAAAGAGCAATTGTTTGAAGAGTCAACATGATGTCCATCTCTATTTATTGTCAACTACTCGGCCATTAGGTTGGGATAGACCTTGTTGAAGAAAAAACGCATACGGAGTAAACCCGAGACAAAGCTTACCAAATCAATCAAAAAATTCATACGAGACAAACCCAAGTAGCTAAACCAAAACAAAGCTGACCAGATCAATCAAAAAAAAAAAAGAGCCTAAAAGTTGTTGCAAAAAAAAAAAAAAGAAAAGGAGAGAGCACAAAGAATAAATATAAAAGGAAAGAGAGAGAGAGAGAGAGAGAGAGAAAGAGAAACTAACCGACCAACCTACAATTGGAGCTACACCATTAGCACACACCAAACGAATAGATTCACCTCACGAGATAAAGCCGGTTCCACCGGTCTCGACACTAATCAACTATTGGATGATGCTCCATGTGCGAGAGCAGCATTGCCAATCTTAGCCATGCTCCCGGCATTTTGTTTTGTCCTCTTCGGTTTCAGCCCCTAAAGTTTTTATTGCTCTTCAATTCTAACTTTGAATTTGATTTTGGCTTTTAAATAAGTCTTTAAGTTTCATACATCACACTATCGGCTCTTGATTTTGTCCATACAATGAGATTTGCCCTCGTGCTCATAATTTTGTTTTTGATGTCTATCAACTATTAAAATCAACCTCTTAATTTTAAAGACAAGTTCGGATAGATATTAAAAGAGGTCCATGAGCATCCTATAAATATTTCCACTCCTCTAGAAGTCTATTTCTTCAAAAAAAAAAAACTACTTTTTAGGGAATTCATAAAATGGGCTAAAAAAATGAGACCCAAATGCTTCACTTTGTATTGAAAAGCTAGAATTTAGTGATTCTTGTAAATCTAATTCATTGAAATTCCATCAAGTAAAATGAAAGAATTATAAATCTTCAAAATAATAGATAGGAATACCATAAATAAAGCCATTGCATCACCATCAAAGGAGTAGTTCCCCACCTCAAAGCTATTTTAATATATTATGAATTCAATGGTTTTAATAAATCCCATAAAATAGTTTCTCTTGGACCGGATCTAGAACTACCATCAACGCTTTGTATAGCCATAAATCTTATTTTGTATTAATTGTGATCTATTGACTTTGTGTACCATTATGTTGTAAATAAATGATCTTATCATAGATCTATTGTGGTCCGAAAATTCTTATTTCTTTTATTATGCTTATTTTTTAGGGAATCCACTACTCCTAAAGTCCATTCATCTAGAAATCCATGTTTCTTTAAAAACTCACTCCTTAGAGAGTCCATTCCTCCACCCCTCTAGGAGTTTACTCTTTCAAAAGTCTATTCTTCTAAAAATTTATGTTACTTTAAAAACGAGTTTGTTCCTTCAAGAACCCACTCTTGAGAGAGTCCATTCTTATACAACATTTCTCTAAAAGTTTATTCCTATGAGAATCCATATTTTTCCGGAAACTCACTCCTAAAGGAGTCCACTCCTAAACAAGATTGGTTGCTTTACTTTCATTCTCACCCCCATTACACACAATGAATTAAGCTAATGTTTGAAGAGAAATTAACCTCTCAATTTTTTTGGATATGAAGGCTACACTTGAAAAATCAATCCCTAAATGCCTCAATTCGATCAATTTTCTAATTACCTAGGATAATTCCTTCGAGAGCTATAACAAAAAAGTTTTAGGGATTGCGGATTGTATAAACTACATATGGTTTTAGGTAATGACTTCAATTCCTTACAATATTCCAAATTATGGTAGGTCTTGGTGATTCAGTTAATAGAAAAAGGTCGGACAACTCGGTGTGTTTTGGTTGAAAGATGAAGGAAGTGGAAGGTAGTAGACTGGTATTTGATCGGGTAGCTGGTATTTGGTGGGGAAGATTTTTAGAGAAGATGAACAATGGATCCTTTACTTTGATTTTCCACGTCAATGCCTATGTGGTATTTAAAATCTAGTTGTCATGCTTCATCACTTGCCACGTTAGTGTTACTCAAAAATTTGGTCAAAAATCAGATTTGTGTTAGTATTTTATCGGATGCTTAGTTGGTGACCTTTTTATCCAAAGTTAAAAGAATTAGCTAAAATCATTAAACTAAAATCATTAAAAAGTGTAACGTTCATGATTTTCTCGAAACACTAAGTCTTATGAAAACTACTTCTAAAGGAATCCATTCTTCCTTCATTCCTCTAAGTATTTGCTTTCATATTTCTCTAAAAATCTATGGTCACGTTCCTCTAAGAATTCGTATTCCTATCGAAACCCTTTTCTCTAGGAAGTGAAAACCCATTCCTCAATAAATTCTACTCCTTCGAGAATCACATTCCTCCAAGAATAAATAGTCATGATCTTTTGAAAGCTTTGGTTCGTTTGAAGAACACATTGAATATGATAGTTAGACGGTTTAAATCTAATGAGTTGCATCTCCAAAGTTCCGATGTACTCGAATCACATCATAGAAGAAACTCATTCCTCCTCAAATCGAGTGAACCTCACATTTTAAGACAAAAAGGCAACTGATGGAATAAGGAATTCAGACTGTTCCACAAAAGCCATCAAATTAGGTATGCTCGTAATTATAAACTCTCTTCCTTGTGGCCTTATAGCCACTTGGCCCTACATATTAAAGGTACTCAACATTTCCAACTATATAAAGGGCTCTTTTCTCCATTAAACACAATTCTCCCTCGTGTCTACACGGTATATCAAATATCGACTTAATTAATCATTGGAGTAGTTTTGCCGGACATCTCCCAGTGCCATTAGTGATTACACTCCATGTTCGCAGAAATTACCGTCATATTTTACAACTCCTCAAAATAAGGTTGAATACCAAATACATTCAATGTAGATATGGTGATGCTCAGATATTTGTCGACAAGGACATCGATTTTAATCTTCTCCAGCGGACTTTCAACTTTCATGCCGTTCAGCTTGACCTTATGTCAAATGTCTAATCTTAAGAAGGCAATGTACTTCCACGCACACATACGTTCAAGAAACACTAATTAACGATTTTTTTTTCAATGAAATTGAAAAAAGACAATATATAGGATCTAACTGAAAGCATGATTCACGGCAATAAACATTTCTTTTCATTCCATTAACACATAAATAAACGAAAAATCTACACTTGGCTCATTATACAATAGCACGTAAGTTTTCTTTATAATGATATCTCTGTTACATGCTGCTTATTATTATTACATTAAAAAGATAGATCCCAGAAACAAGAAACTTATTGAAAATATAGTAGATAGGAGAGTGACTGATGATGGAATCCGCCCCTTGTCCTTCCTTATAATCATTCCTTCAACAATTGCATAATTCATAAATGAGATGTAAAATGACAAGAAAACTTGTATAAACATCCTCTCCCCCTTTCCTGCAAAGAAGATTCTAATAACGCCCACAAAAAGTGATCCAATGTTCAAGAGAGCTATGGTAACCAGTGGAACAATGAAAATTCTTGATGCTTGGAAATCAAATACGCCCATATGGTACTGTTTAACTTGCTCATTGTCCGCAACTTTATTGGTCAGGAGGAAACTAGCTTTCCTCAAGCCAAGCCTCTTGGTAATAGCATCCAAACTTCCATACAAATGACTCGTGACTGACTTTATCATCCATATTCTCTGCTCATTTCTCATGTTCCGGAGTGACCCTCCAGTGATGAGGACATCGTATAAATGTTTAGAGAGGGAAGACATAAAGATGTATAAAAAAATGTAAAAGAACGAATTTGAAACCTGTAACACAAAACGAGTGGATTTATGTAAGAATATATGCAGAAAAAAATTATCTGAGCTGGTGTTTGTACAACTCATGGTTAAAAAATGAAAAAAAAAGAAACGGGAAAAAATGTAATTAAATAATGAAGCGAGAGTACTTATGTTTTAGGAATTGTCATACCTGAGGGTACAAGGGGATGCCATTCAAGAGGCAAAGTTGAGGGACAGTTGCAAAACACCACAGAGGCAAGCAATAGAGTAGTGGGGCAAATGCAAGTTCTGTATAACACATACTCTGAAGAAAAGACATTCTCAATGGTCCATATATAAGAGGACAGTATTTTGAGATACCAACATCAACTAGTCCGGAGCTCCATCTTGTGCCTTGAATCAATAGATCATTTAAATTTGTTATAGCTGTGCCCAAAAATTGTGGCCTTGGTGGGTTAATATAGATGGTTCTCCAGCCTTTGCAATGTAAGGTAAACCCTGTGAGATAATCTTCCAGAACGGATTGATACAAAAAACCAACCTAATATTGAACAAGCAGAGATATATTAGTGTGTTATCGCATAATAATTCAATAAAAAAACCAAGATTTTTCTTTTTTAATCTTTTTGCATGTATATATATCTGCGGACTTGCCTCTTTACCCCATGTCGTGTGATCTTCATATGTGCTGGAGGCTAGAAATTTGGTCTCCTGTAGGAATGTGCTTGAAGACTCTCCGCCACTTATAATGCCACTAATCTTCAGAGATTTGATTAACTCATTGGACGGGCCAAATGCCTTTTTAAGCTCTTCTAGCTCTGAACCTATAAATTGAAAATATTGGAATTGATGTTGAAAAATAAGACAGGCTAGCTCTCAAACAATGTTCAATATTAATGTCATGTAGCATAAAAAGAAAAATCATGAACCTGGTCAATAATTTAATTTGATCAAGTATTTTGTTATGTTTATTTTATTAAAACAGACCAGATTTACCTTCCTGTAGAGAATCCCCATATAATGACTCTCTCTTGATATAGCAGTTCGTACCAGACCAGATTGGTCCCCTCAATCCATCTGAACCGTACCAATTTAACTGAAATTATGGACAAAATATTTTAAAAAATAATAAAATTTCTTGCACATTCTGATTGAACATAATACTTTGAGTAGCTAACTAGAGGTTTTATTTCCGTATAATATATATTACCGTAAAAATCTGCCTAATTTCGCTGTCATAAATGTCGTTGTCACTGATATTATGAAACTTTTGAGGGAAGAAAACTGATGCCAGCGAAGGAGATATCTTGGGATCAAGGTGAAAACACATTGCTTGCCTTGCCGAGCTTGGGCCATTGCAATACATATCACAGTCTAACACTAGTATGTAGGGAGAATTGCTTATCAAACCTGACACCCTAAGCTGCAAAAAATCGTAAATATCAGAACATATATAAGCTTATATAGCTAGGTTGATAGAAATTAGCATCGCCAAAATGGCTTCTCATTAAGCAAAATATTTAGTTAAAAAATAATCCATTAATACTCTAGAAATATGAAAAAGTATAAATAACCTAAAATAACATGAATCCATGGAGGAAATTCGCCTGCATAGATGCCCGTATTGGCATTACTATATATAGACACAGCAGTACTTTCTTAGTCGCTGCTGGTTTAAAATTATTGAGTCTTGCGGTACACACATGAAAAATTTTATAATCCATAAGCTCTGTATTTACTGTACGTATTTATTTTTAAAAAAATAGATATAAAAAATAAATAAATAAATAAAATAAGAGAAAAAAATTTTAAAAAATTGAATAAATATGAAAATTTTATTATATTTTTTATGAATTCGGATATAATTTAATATATTTATTTTTTTTTCGAAATGAATATATAGAGTAACTATTATATATATTATTTATTATATATTTTATAATTTCTCCGTATGACATGTGGATCTCACCATATTTAAAAGTGATGTCAGAATGCGTGCGTGTGTATGCTTGCACGTGCGTATGCACGCATACAAAGAGACTAGTGAAAGAGTAAAGGATCAGGAGATTTATACAAGAGCGTTTAGAGCTCCGGCTTTGAAATGGTGAGGATGAGAATGGCTTTTCTCCCGAGAAACGTAGACAAGGAGGGGCATTTGAACTTGGTCTTCTCCCATTGTCTCGCTGCAGCTTTCATTTATCACCTACAAAATTAAAATGGTATGAGTTGTTCCTCTGATTTTCATGTAAAACTTGAATACATATCCAACGCAAATTCAAAAAAGTTTCTATCATTTATCCCAAAGACGTCATGAGGACGTACGCTGGACCTCATCTTCTACTTCCCCTTAATTAGATTAGACTATCCACCATTTATACGTTCCAATGTAAACGATCACATCTAATCATTTGTTTCGTTTGTCGCGGAGATTTCTGAAAACAACTCTGTAGTTACAACGAGAAAATTAAAGCCACTCCCACACATTGTTTTTAATTTAAATTATATATATAATAAAATTATAGATTAATTATTTCTTATTTTGTAAAGCAAAATCCAAAATTGAACTTTCATTTTGCCCCTAGCTATATGTATATATATTAGATAAAGGTAACTGCGAAACAATAGAAATAACTGATGAAAAATATATAAGAAGTCTTAAAAAAATATCAAAATTAAATTGTTAGCATTCTGATCACTACAGTCAATGCAAGCGCTTACTTTCGGTGCTCATGCTACGCAATTACCAACTATCCCTTTAATCATATCAATGCCAATGAGGTTAAATAGTGAGTAACCTGATGGTTGTCGCGCTACTATACAGATCAAATTATAAAATTATGAAATTATTTTAAAAAATAATTATAATTCGATAATTCTCTTCGTACTATAGATCCATTGCAATATATTAAAATCAAAGTAAAAAAATCACCTAATTTTATGATTTTTTAATCAAAATTTTATACATAATTAATTATTTCTTATGTTTTTTAATAGAGTTCTTTAAAAAAAAATGATATATATATATATGTTCTTAAATAAAAATTTGTAATAATAAAAAATACAAGTTTCAATCAACCAACAAAAAAAAAGCATAAATTTATTTTTTCATAAGATTGCATTAAAAAAATAAAGCAAAAAATAATGAAAAAAATTATATGAACATTAATGTTTTTTCAGTTTTTTTTATCCTTATTGAATATCGATGAGAAGATTACTCTATTTGAAAAGTATGGTACCATCGAGTGTTTTTTAACAAGATTTTAATTATTTTATTTGAGAAAAATCAATTTTTAAATATCAAAAATAAATTAAAAAATAGTACACGTTAAGTTTTTTAGTATATGCGTAGTCAATTTATAATTAAAAAATCACCTATAAAATTAATTTTGATAAATTTTTATTATATAAAAAAAGTAAATAAAATACTTGGAATCTTTCTTCTTCTTTTTTATTCTTAATAGATATTTTTGGTTCTAAGTCATACATTCTTGGTTTTCGGGTATAGGATTAACACTCATAACAACCAATTCTCTCTGCTTCTTTTTGTACTTTTAAATTTTAGTTATTACTCAAAAACTCAAAAATATTATTGTTACAAAATTCAAATCATATTCAAGAATTCAACTAAATATTTTGGAGTATCAATTAATTTTCAACTATTTTATGATTTGAGACTACCATAACAAATTCTCATCTTGGAGATTAATAAATCGAAACAAAAATTGACAATCAAAGTAATCGGAATGGACTTTGTCATCGCATTCTTTCTCTTTGTTTCTCTATATATTTAGGAATCAAACAAAAATATAAATAAAATTAAAAACCAAAATAGTATTCTTTAAAAGTTTAAAACTCAATTAACTCAACTCACATAATTGAATCTTACTAGAAGAAAAATTTTAAACTTTTTATTTTTTTAATCTTTTTACCATTTTAATCAAATGATCCAGTGATTTAGGCCGAATTTGACAAATATACATTGGAAACATGCCACACACGAGAGAGAGAGAGAGAGAGAGTTTATTTCTTCTTATTCTTTTTTCTCAAATAAAGTGGGCACATAGCAATAAGATAAAATATATATCTAATTTTTTATGAGATGGTAATTAATTGAAAAGGATAAGGTTGATAAATAGGAAAAGAAAAAATAATTGATAGAGACAAAGACGTTTGAAAAGAAAAAAAAATTAAGTTTAAAAAAACAAACAAAACAACATTATTTTCAAATCCAACGATGCAGAGTAAGACATGTTAATTGCAAGAGAAGAAATGGCTTAGATGTGGAGATGAGAACAAAATAATATGCTTAAGTCACAGTCCATAGTTAAATAAGTCTATATGAACACTCTACCAACGATAATATGCTTAAGTCACAGTCCATAGTTAAATAAGTCTATATGAACACTCTACCAACAATAATAACCGTCTCTTTTAGCTTTTTTTGTAATTGAATATTGACGTACATGTGACGGCATGATTAGTTGTTATGCTTTGCTCGAGGCTCATTTAATGTTTTTTCCCCCTAAATGCGTTGGCAATTGTGGGAAATATATATATATATATTTTTAAATATGATTATTTGTTGGATTTTCGCAGGGATTAATAGCCATTTTCTTTTTCTTGCACAAGACTCCATGCATTTGATACAAAGAGCACCGACAGTTGACATTAAAACAGTAGGAGTAATGCATTTGATGTGTTGGTTTGGTGGATCTGATTTAATTGAACGTGCTAAGGAGCTAAATGCATGCCCAACGTTTAGAATTCCCACGCATATTAATGACAACAAAAAATATTTTTTTAAAAAAATAATATTAAATTAAATATTATCAACACCGATAAAAAGATTAAATAATTAATTTTAAAAACAAGAATGATTAATTTATTTATTTCTTAAAATTAGAGATTAATTTATAATTTACTTTCCAAAATCAAGTATTTTTCAAAAAATAATGGATATCATATCATTTGGGATTATATGTTATTGTGCTTGTGATTGTTATAATAAAGGAATAAGGAATTTAATTTAGGATTTCTTGAACACAATTTGATTATCACAAGAAAAGAAAAGAAAGAACGAAACAAAAAACAATCAAACATATTAGAATCCCCATTACCTCGATGACAGCAGGGTGATCTCGACTGTTACTGGTGCTTGGCTCTTCGAGGAAGTCTTTTTCTGGGGACCTCTGTATGACTTCTTGGAACTTCTCGTATTTTTCCTGAATAAAAACACCAAACTTTCAACTTGGATTGCAAAATTATATATATATATATATATATATATGAAGATGTTTCAAGGATCAGTACTGCAATCATGAACAGAAATTATACGGAATAAATCAAATAAACAATCAAACAGCAATAAAAGGAAGTTTGAAGGCAATCAGATATGAAGATTCTGTTTGGTAATGCGGTTTAGGTGCTTTTCCACATACACGTATTACCAAAAATAAATTAAATAATTTCAATTAATTTTACCAGACCTTAATAATTTCTCTCTCGGCTATGAATTCCTTACTACTCCAACGGTGTTTATCTTCATCGTTGGCATCAGAAAAATAAGCTTGGGGGCATCTTGTCTTGATTCCATATTTCCTACAAAATGGAAGCCACCATCTTCCAAACCTACAAGCCTCTCTCATACCTACTAAAGTTATAGAAGCACCACCATCATCTGATAAATACACATGAGTCTTCTCTGCAGGATAGTCCAAAGCCATAGCCGACAATACAGTGTTCATTACCCCCACAGTGGGCTCCTTATTTGGATCCACAGTACATATAAACACATCGATGGCCGGAAGTTTATCATCTTCCGGCAAGTTTTCCAGAAATACAGTTCGAGAAACGGGTCTCCAACGGTAAGCTTGGCCAAGGAGCCACATGAAAGAGAGAAGCAGCTCGGAGGCAAAAACTAGAAGCCATGGCACAACAGGGGTGGCTCTGGTTTGGGGGTCTTGGAAGAGAAAGGAAACTCTATAGTAAACCAAGAAAGTTATGGCAGTGCAGTGGATGACTGCATGAAACCAGTGGATGATAATGTAAAGCTTGTGGAAACGAGCGTGACAAGTATTCAGTGGAGAAGAATTTTCCATTTCTTCTTAGTTTTTCATTCCTTTTGCAAGATTAATTTGTTGGCAAAATAATATATATATATATATATATATATACTGGTTGGACCTTCAACCGTCAACTCGTTTATCAAACTTCATCACTCAATTAACCTAACGAAGTTAGTGCACTTACGTTTATCTAATCAAATATTGATACGTGTCAATCATGCTTGAAAGTGTATTTTCAAAAAACAAAAAAAAATCTTTTATTTTTCAAAATAGTCAATCTTTTTTCTAGAAATTAAAAAAAATATATATTTAAAATGAAAAATAAATAAATAATAATTTTTATTGTTTAAATAATAATTCATTAATTTTTTTTCAATTTTGAAAAAAAAATCTTTTTTTGAAATTATATTTTCAAGTATGGATTGACACATATCAGCATTTGATTGGTTAGATATACTGACTTGGTTAAGTTACTTGTAAAACAAAGATAAATAGGAGTATCGTGTCCCAACTTTTCAAGCATGACAACACGTAACGATTATAATATTTTTTAGATAAAGACGTATGGGAGTAAGACATGACATGTGCTTGAGTGATTTTGTTCGAGCCTATATATGATATATTGATAGAAATGTCTTTCATCTTATGATATGTGATATATTGTCTTGTGCAATTTGTATCCGATTCGTAGAGAATTAACTATATGAAATGAATTATAATTTATTTCAATTAATTAATTGATTTAATAAAATTAAAAAGTAGAAATACAATGTAAATAGTTTTTTTTTAAAAAAAGTGTATTGACTCTCAAATAAAATTCACTTTAAGAAAACAAAAGTTTATGGTGTAGTTTATTATATGTACAAGATAAATAATAAAAAGAAAGAAAGAAAAACGGCAACATAAAAAAGTATTTAACAATTCAAAAATAAATAATACTATGAAAAAAAGAAACAAAATAAGAGGGCATTTGAGACTATAGCTGCACCATTTGTCTAGGACCGATTATCTTTTTTTAGAAAAAAAAAAAACCTGAGAAAACTATATATATTTTTAGTGTCAAACATTTGATTTTTTTTTTTTTTCCTATTTCAATACCTAATGGTAATTTCTTCTATTTTAATTCTTAAATTTTTATTTTTTTATTTTTATTTTGTGCCAATAGTCATGTGAGAGTATGAAATGCTAGCTTGTCCGGAACTAACCACCACATGTTAGTAAAAAATACCATGCAACATGTCGTCTTAGACATGTCAGCATTTCATGTTTTAGGTGATTACAAACACTTAAATAAAAATAATAATAATCAAACATTGGCTTTGAAATAAAAGAAAATACCAATTAGGCACTTACACGTAAAAAATCAAAAATTGGATACTAAAATTGTAGTTTTCTCAAGAAATTTATTTTAGTTTTCTTACACCAAATGTCTCTCATCCTCTCTCACTTAATCTATCTTTTATTTGTTATAAATAGATTTCATATATTTTTTGTACTTTCATAATCTTTATATATATGTTGTCATAACTAAAAAATCACAATTTTAATTTTAATTATTTTAATTTTACTTGTTTTAGGAATTTATGTGTTTTCTAAAAAGGCAAAAAAAGAATTAAAAAATACAAAAAAAGTAATATATAGAAAATACAAAAAATCTCATGAATTACATTTGGGGGGATAACTACATTAAAGGAAAGAATAATTGAAGTAATTACGGGTACAATCGAATCAATTGAAAAATTCAAAACCTAAATTACAACCTATAGGAGCCCAATTGATAAAATCACACCGAAATTACACAACAAAAGGACCCAATTATGGATAATTGAAATTCGTAGGGACTAAATTGAAATTCAAGAGCAAACAACGGGACTCGTAGTTTGACGGATCCACTTCAACCCGTAAATCTCTCCTAGGATTGTTCCTTAATCTTTCCCAAGAGAAAAATCTTCCTCACATTAAGTTTTGGTTTGATTTGCGTTCACTTAGGATCCTTAGCTAGATTTGATACCAGCCATGGATCATGCTCTAATGCAATCAATGCCTCAATTTTGTCTAATCAAAGGTGAATTTTTTACCTTAATAGTCGGGTTCGAGTGTGAATGGATTGATTCTAGAAGAGAGATTTGAGCCAAGTTGTGCCTATTAGGCCAACAAGAAAAAGTGAAGAATCTTGGGTTGAGAGAGAGTGAAAATTGAGAAAAAGAGTAGAATTCAAGACATTTTTGAAATTTCGATGGCTGGATTTCTAGGTTTTTTTGTGTCGCCTTTAGTGTTCTTTATTTCTAGGATTTTGGTCTTTAATTGTGGGAATGTTCGATTCGTTGTTTTGTTTTTCTTGAGATTTAATTAGCATTTTTTTTTTTGGGTTTTCTCCACAAAAAGTTTTTGGGCGATGTTTAAATGTTATTGGTTTTTTAGATTTTGCTTTTTGGCATTCTTCCCACTCGTTGGACTCTAATCCCTCGATTTTGAATTTGTTTGAACATCCAAAGCCAATTGAAAGTTCCTTAAGTCCTCTAGAAACCACCCCGAGTTTCAATTTCGTCCAGCTCATATTCGAATAACAATCTTCAACATCAATAATTCGGTTAGTGTTCTTCATTTTTTTTTTCCATTCCTTTTACTTTCTATTGTTCGATTTCTATTGTTTAAGCTTTAGATTGTTAATTGTGATGGTGCAAGGATATTTAACATGATATAGTTAGTTAAGCTTTTGTTTCAACCTAAAATGAATTTTAATGCCCGAAAAATGATGATGAATAGAGAGAGAGAAAGTTTAGAATACGAAGAACATGAGAGATAGAGAGGGTGATGAGTTTGAAAATCTTTGTTTTCATCGGGAAAATAAGAAATAAAAGATATGGGGTTTTTTTGGGCTTGAGGTCCAGATCCGAATCCCTTTTAAAGAAAAGAAAGGCACGTTGGTTGGGATTAACCCAATCCACACTAAGTCAAACCAACCCAACCCTAGCCTAGCAATTTATAAAAAAAAAAAAATGTAGAGGAAAGAGGCTGGACTTGTTTCGATCTAGCTTCTCCCTTTTCCTCCAAAAAATAAAAATAAAAAGAGAAATAAATGAGAATTTAGAACTAATCTAGCTTCACTTGAAAAAAATAAAAACATAAAAAAATAATATGAAACTAGAATTAGTCTAGAAAGAACAATTAAAAAAAAAGGAAAAGAAAAAAGAAAAGAAAATGGGTAGGAGAGAATAATGCATAGAGCCACTGGGTATGGGGCCTAAAAAGATTTCTTTTAATATTTTGATTTTATTTTTTTCTATAGTCCGAGTATTTTTATTTCTTGTTATATTTTTATTTTCTAATTAATTTAGATTCAATATTCTAGATGCTTTTTTTTGGAATTTATTTAATTAACCTTAAATTTTAGACTTTAATTATTAGGTTAGATAATTATTTGATAAAAGAATTATCAAGTCTCCTAATTTTTATGGATTGATGATAATTTTTTAGCAACAAAAAAAAAAAAAATGAAATGATAAACCAGAAAAAAGAAAGAAAATTAATAGTTGATTTTTGGATTTTCTTTTGAAATTAGTTTAGTAGTTAATAAGTGGGTGAATTATCGAGTCTCATATCCGATAGGGACTCGTCGTTAACAAAAAAAATATCTCATCAACATTCAAACTATCGGGATGTTCTCTAACACACTCGGTTGTATCGAGGTCTAAAGTAGATTCGATGTTTGAACCAACTTATCATCCGTCGAAGGAGACCGACGATTGTTTCAATACAATATCACACCCAAAACTAAAAAACTTAATTCAACTTGGAAAATAGAGCTTAAATAAAAAATAACTTCGTATAAACAAAAATATTTTAAGAGATGAATTTAGGACTAAATTAAATGTGATACTTTTTTTAGAAAATGACATCTTTAGGTGATTGATTTCTTCACAAAACATAAGCAACTCCTTACCCGAGAATCTCTACATTAGTGTTATTTTTAAATTCCTAGCTCCTTAATACTAGGTGGTGACTTCAAACTTATAAATAATTTTATAAATAAGTAATTAATAATAAGTTCATTATGTTTTTTAAGAGTCTCGTCCGATGTCACATAGCGATAGAATGACGACTCCACTAGGGAGTTAGAGTTAGGCCATAGGTTTAGTCTCGTTAAGTTTATCTCCCGTATTTTTTTTATGTCAATTATTTTCCAAATAATTTATTTTTGTCATCTAATTTTGAGTTATTTATTTCATGTAGATATTTTAGTTTTTGTAATTTATTTTTCTCACTATATATTTATTGTTTAAATTGGGTTGGATGTTTTCTTTAAACTGTTGCACATGCCACGAAAGAAGCCTATAAAAGCTCTGAACTCGACTTAAACCCCGATACAATGTAGATAGAGAGATTTGGAGGGAAGTACGATGAAAGTTTACCGATACTCTTTTAGACTCTCGTTTGGACCGTAACTTGCCCTATACATAGGAAATTATGAAATAACATTCCCCTATCTCCTCATGTGTAAGGTTAAAAGCTGAATTATTCCACCGATAATTTAGGCAGTTTAGAAACTTTAGAGAACTTCGAGACTAGATAAGCTTTGTCCAACCATAAAAAAGCTATATCATGTCCATTAAAGTTGACTTGATTGAGACACAAATCTTTTTTAAATGATGTCTATACTAATCCTCGATTTTGTAGTTGTTCTTCGTATTAAAATTTTAGGGTCAAATTTGAGTGGACCCAAAATGATGAAGGAGATTGTCTACCTCAAATTTTATGCCAAGTGTCGTTAGAAAAGTCTAAATTGATTGATAAGATAGTCAACATTGATTTACTCCTCAATTGTTGGGAAATGCTCACTTCTAATGATAAATTCGACTTCCAAAAGACATATGGCAACATAGTTTATATGATCAAGATCAAGGTTTAGAATGCATGTTTCAAGCCATGGTAGAAAATAGGGACATAGATTATTATTACTTTACCTTAAGAAATGTAGACTTATGAGCTACATTTGAAGAGTATAAAACTCGTTGGCATTTCTTGAAATGAAG